CATGACCCTTGATTATATTTCATCCAATGGTCTAGATCTGTGGATTCTGGCACACACAATATATATATATATATATATATATATATATATATATATATATATATATATATATATATATATATATATGCAAAGTCTCAATGTTTACATTTCTTCTATTTACCAAACTTTACATTTTACCCCCTCCAACTAAAAGAATATTGCTTCTCCAAACTTTATATATATATATATATATATAAAACATAGCTTTACAAATACACAAAGATATGTTCAATGACTATTGTTTTTTCTTATGGATTAATGGTGTATGGGGAGCAACTCATATATAAAGACCTTGCAATACCGTCAAAAGCAACCCAACCGTAAAGAAGCCCAAATGATCTACATACCGGAGGTCGGTAATAAAGCAACCCGACTAAGCAAAGAAATCGTTCGTATGGATTCTGAGATAATATCTCAGGAAACACGAAAAATGCGGTAATATTATATTGAAGGCTACTACCCTTTCCACCCCTGTGCATTCACATCACCCGTTTAGGAAAGTAAGAAACATGACCATCTCATTTGTATATATAGCTTTCGATACTTATCGACAAGGTAGATTCCTGAAAACGTTAAGCAATTTCACTACTTTTCTATACATTAATTATCTTAGTGTAAAGTCCCAAATATTAAGACTAAAAATTTGGATTTATAAATTAAATAAACCATTATCCAAACAATATCATTCAAACCATAGTGAATCAGAGAGTATCAATAAACATACAAGTACATCATAATTTTATAAAATGCAGAATAATGTGGTGTGTGTACTGCAGTCATCTCGAGCTCTTCCCTTTCGTACAAAAGTACTTGAAACATAAACTGTAAACCGTAAGAATAAAGCTTAGTGAGTTTCCCCTAAATACCACATACTAAACAAATATACAACCAAGCATATATGGGTGCTTGCTTACCCATTCGGTCTATTTCAACCGGATACTATCAAGCATATATGGGTGTTTGCAATCCCTTTCGATCTATTTTAATCGGATACTATCAAGCATATATGGGTGCTTGCAATCCCCTTCGGTCTATTCAAACGGATAATGGGTCTATTTCACCCCTACTACTACCACATAATATCATAACAAGAATCACAGAGTCATCAAGCAAATACAGGCACAACTGACAATTGTTACAAAAACAATCATCACATTACATCATAAACTAGTCGGCCAGCATTGGTGCCTTCGACCCACGGATACAACGAAGGAAAACTCACCTCAAGCCGTTGAATCTCTCAGATAAAATATCGATTTGTTGATCTGGAACATCCTCGCGCTAACATCATCAAATAATATCCAATTAATAATTGGATCTTGATCCATAATCAAGAATCTAAATTACTTGTCCAATATTCATGGTAAAAGACCTTTTTTCCCTTTTCTTACTAGGCCTAAAACAAATGCCCAACCTATTTGCTCAAAAATCCCAATATCCTAAACGGCATCCCAAGGCCCAATATGACCCAACTTCCTAATTGGGCCCAAAAACTATCATGGACCTAATTCCAAGAAAGTTCATAGTCTATCTATTGCCCAAAGTTAGAAGTCCAACGGCCCAACAAGGTACAAACCCTAAAAGGCCCAAAATGGTCACTCTGGGGAGTACGCCCTGCGTACCAGAAATGTACGCCTCGCATCCTCACCCCCGAAGCACCACGTACAAGCAAACGATGCATAGATTAGCATTATGTTGAGTGTACACTCAACGTACGCCCAACATACTCGTCAGAGCCCCAAAAATCCACATTAAGCTCTTATTTGGCTAAGTCAAGTTGTCTAAACACATATTTGATCCCTAGACAAGGTCTTAAACCATAAAGTTGTCAACTTTACTCCGTTGCATGCCTTAATGGAACCCAAAACCCATTTTTATCCTTCTAAGCCCATAATATGAACACCAACTTAATCATGACTCACCCAAACCCATCAATATGACATTTTTATGCACTCACAATCTCAGAATTGCTAAGATCCAACATTCTAAGTTATTTAACTAGCTCATACTCCCAAGGATGACTCTAAGGACCAAAACACACCCTAGGCAAGATTTAACACATAGAGTCTTCAAGTCAGAAACTTTATATCTCCTGGAAGTTGATGAAGATGAGTAGAGCTTGGATCCACAAGCTCCAAGCCAAAAAGATGCTTCAACAAGAACTCCTTCTTCTCCAAGGCAAACCAAAATCACACCAAAAAACACAAAATTATCAAATGGAAGCTATGGTTTTGAATCTAGGGTTTAATGGGATGGAGGCTGAAGATAGGAGGGGTTTGAGTGGAGTTAAGATCATTAAATAGGGTCTAAGACCCTAAATTAGGGTTTGCATGTGACTGGAGTATGCCCTGCATACTCCAGTATGCCCAACATATTGCAATAGATGCCCACGACCCTTCTGCCTAGTACGCTCGACGTACTCCCTATGTACGCCCCGCATACTAGGCTTAGCTTAAAGCCACCAAGTTCCGAAAGCCATAACTTCTTCATTCCTGCTCCGTTTTCGACGATCTTTATATCCACGAAAAGGTAATGAGAAGCTCTACACTTCTATTAACTCCCCCTTGCCATAAAACTTTCTGAACAAAAATCCAAAATCCATAAAAGACCCAAACTGTCACTTTACCGATATGCCCTTGGATTCCAAAACACAAACCGAACTCCCAGGTCATCCAAGCTACATTATCCACACACAAAGGGGTCTAAATCTCTTTCCCAAAGGCCTTAAGCCTTATGATAACCGGTCTTCAGATGACGGTCCCGAATTATGAAACGATTTGAAACAGGGTGTTACAACTCTCCCACTTAAATTAGATTTCCTTCTCGAAATCATTCCTTACCACTTCCAGTTCCTTCGCTGCTAGCCGATCCTGCCCAAACTTCCTAAATTTTGATTTAGATCGAAAATTATTCCATAAAAGCATTTTCATTTCTTTACAAGGTATATAAATAAAACTCTTAAAAAGCAACAATTAAATAACCAAAATAGTCGAAAATCAATACTTGAGCTTGAATTTAACGAAGTGATGTTTGAGTTATGTTCATATTATATCTTTTGATACAATCAACAAGTCTATCTCTAAAAAAATTATCATTCAAACAAACTCTAACCATGATTTGCACTGTTTAATCAAAATCAAATTTCTTTTTAAAGAGAATCACACTTCCCATTCCCATTCTGATTCTCTTTTCTCATCGATTTCATTCCAACATTCTCCAATGATTTCTTCAACTCCTGAATATGCTACAATGCTTTAACCAAACTCATCAGCACTCGACCTATATTTGGGTTCTTTCATCCGACACTTCATTTCCAGGATGGTTGGTTGTGTGGCAGCAGAAGACGTGTATTGCCCTTCGATATAACATAAAATCAATGAAGAATCATATTAACAATATAATGATAGGAAGAGCTTTGTGCAACAACAAAGTGCAATGAAATGGGAACCACCTCAAACATTGTAAGCCGATCTTCAGGTTGTTTTTGGACACACAACAAACGAATATGTAAACACTTTACAACCTCATCCTCATGAATGATTGAGTCACCTAATACAGGTTCCACCTGGGTAGCTTCCTTCATTCCACAACTTCCATTCCAGCAACATACACACACATATTAAACATGTCTAATTTCTACTAATTAGTCTTATTGGAATGATAACAGTCTATGCTTTTTAAGCAATATAGACAAAAAAGTTCACTGAGGCATTTAATCGAACATCTGATAGGTAATTATATAATTACTCGGTAATTTAGCCTATAATTGACTGTCATGATGTTGATTCCACATTGGCCATCCAACCTAACTCACTATATACACAGTGTACAAGGGAAAGAAGAAAAGAATATTAGATTGCTTTATTTCAAATTACGAGTGCAATTCATGAACGTGGTTGGACAAGCCATGGTTGTGAAATCAAGTAGATGGCGAACCCATTGGAACGATGGCCGACTGTTACTCCTTGAACGTGAGAAATAAATCGAAAACATGTGTGTTGACAGATGCGACTTGCGAGTACCTATTGGATTGATTGAATTGTACATTTTTTACTCAAATTCTCGACAATCACATCCAACATACTCTTTCGATGAAATTTTCCGACGTAACAAGTAGCGGTGGATACGAGTTAATGAAGATTGGTGGCTCAATTGATACAAACAAGTACGAGAAAGAAAAAAGGAACCGATTAACTTGGAACGACGTCGCATTCTAGTTAGGGTACCTAAATGTATATACCTTAAGGGTATATTCATTTTTCCATATATATATATATATATATATATGAGAAAAGTGAATATACCCTTAAGGGTATATAAGTTAGGTACCCAATTAGTCAAAACTACGTAGTTTTGTTAAATTATTTAATTTTCTGAAAATAAAAAAACAATAATTTCCTTAAAAATAAACCACGTTTCCTTATTCTTGAAAATGCAATCCAATTACTCCTTTTTCAAAATCGACTACACCAATTCATGGAAGAAAAAACGGCGATTTCACAAGCTATGGCTCTTGACGGCAATTCATGGAAGAAAAAACGGCGACTACACCAAAACTACACCGTTTTTTCACTTATTTACTTCCATACTCTACTGATTTCACTGAACACAAAATACCGATTGCACATCATTTGGACAGCCCTCGTCGTCAAGAGCCATAGCTTGTTCGTCGACTATCTCACCTGCAAAGCAAGGAATTTTCATATCGACCGACGAGATGAGGCAAGCAGCCCCGCATCCTCCACTCCGACGCAGCAAGGCAGCGAAGCGACAGCAAAAATATTAGGGCTCAAATTGTAGGAGCGCTGAGGCTTTCGATTCAAGATGCAATTTTTATACATGCTTGGGTAATCTCATCTCAGAACTTCTCAAATCAGGTAAATATTTTATATTCCTATGATTTTTGTATAAAATTCCTGCTTTCTTTTAGCCTGTGCTCACGAGAGTTGTACTCCAAAAAGATGAGGTTGTCGGAAACTTAGTACAGCTGCACAACTCCGCTGCAACACTGTCGTCGGTTGACTTACATCATTTGTCGCTGCACATGACCCACTATTGTCTCCGGAAAGCTTGTGTTCATTGTTCAAATACAATGCATATAAAAAAAGAAAATCAAGGGTATAGCTATATAGAATAATATAAATTCTGACCTCTGGTTTGTTTTTAATGTTTTTAGCACGATGTGCATAATCAAAAGTGCTTAATGTTTCTTCCAAACAATGTGCAGATGGAGAAACCGTTGCAATGATGCAGGTTTTGGTCTTTCCACCAAGTGAGTCTCTTAACAAGGTAAGGTCTGTAAAAATTGAAATATAGAATTTCGTATGCTACCCAATCTTTTAACAGCATTTCTCATTGGTTTTGATGATTTACATCTATCACCCTCAAAAAATTGAAATACAGAACTGATGATAATGTAATAAAGGGGACAAATGAGAAATGTGCTATCGGACTAATGGAAGGTCCATTTGGTTGCAGATTGCTTATGAATAAAGGCATATATGAACAAAGGCAAAAAGATAACAGAGGAATTGTTATTGTGCACCAAGTTGAATGAAACACAAGAACATGACAGAAGTGAACGAACAGGGAAGTAAACAATAAGATAACAGGTTTCCAAAAATGCCCCTGGGAATAAACTCTTTCCCATAATTTGAATTATCCCAACAATATATTAGTAATGCTCATTAACTTCTTTTCTTGCCTATTCATAGTTTGTCTGATTATTTAATTGTTTTTTTTTTGGATCAAACTCTTTAGATAAATCAAAGCCAAAAGTTTCATGGATGCATCTTTAGAATTCTCACTTTGTCAACCATACACACTCTCCAAGATCTGCTCCTACTAAATTTGGCATTTCAAAAACATCTACTGTGGGTCCTTCTTGGGAAGGGTAATTTGGACCGTTTGTTGTTTATTGCCCCTGCAAATTATGTAGATTATGCAGCAGGTGCACTTGGCATGTATTCTTTTTTATAATAATAATAATTAGTCGGTGTTATTCTTGTTTCTTTAGTAAAGGGCATAAATCAGAGATGAAGATGATGCAATGCCTCTGAAGCTGGATGGTGTTATGAAAGAAAGCTCCTTGCAATTGTCTTTTGTCGACCTAACATGGGCAAAATCGTCCAACAAGGGTAAAAATCATCACCCTTATGTGATCATGGAAGTTAATGCAATGTATGAAAGATGTACTAGTGAGTTTGAAGTATATATTGACTAGTTCTTTGTAACTAAGGGTTTCTGCTCATGTGTTTAGTAAATAAATTACTGATAGTTTGATTGTAATTTGAATAGATTCCATGTTCTTGTTTTGGTGTTTGTTTTTTCTCTCTTTTTGTTAACCTTTTAATTTGGTCTGTAGTTATGTAAAATAAAAAGGCAATGCAATTTGGTATTTTGATTAGGCATGTTTCATACTATAGTGAAAGATATACTTTTAATCCAAATTACAACATATTTTCTTTTTTAACCTACAATAGCAGAAAAGCTGTAAATTTAACCTATATTGGCAGAAAATTTTTATTTTTAACCTAAATTGTAGAAAAATTACAATTTTAACCCAAAATGAGAACCAACTTTCATTTTTAACCTATAGTTGCAGAAAAATTGCATATTTAACCCAAAACTACACATAAATTTCATTTTTAACCTAAAATATCATTATACTTTCATTTTTTTCACAAAATATCCTCATAATTCCATTTTTTTTCACAAAAACCATCATACTTCTATTTTTTCTCACAAAATACCCTCATAATTTCGTTTTTTTTCACAAAATACAATCGTATATTCATTTTTTCACAAAATACCCTCATAATTTTGTTTTTCCACAAAATACCATCGTACTTCCGTTTTTTTTCACAAAATACCCTCATAATTTCGTTTTTTTCACAAAATACCATCGTACATTCAATTTTTTCACAAAATACCCTCATAATTTCAGTGTTTCACAAAATACCATCGTACATTCATTTTTTTCACAAATTACCCTCTGAATTTTGTTTTTTCACAAAATACCATCGTAATTTTGTTTTTTTCACTAAATACCCTCATATATTCGTTTTTTCACAAAATACATCATACTTGCGTTTTTTTTTTCATAAAATACCATCATACTTGCTTTTAAAACACATAGTGGCAACCAAATTTCAATTATAATCACAAAAGTCATAAACAATCAACAAATTTCACTCGAAAACATTAAAATTGTTAAGAAGCATCAATAACTTCTAGATTATTCATACATTGTTTGTCTAAAACATGAAAAATGTGCAGTTAACCAAAAAAATGTCATGAAGCATCTAGTTTTTCTTTTGCCCACAGAAACAACACATCTAATAATTATGTCTCTTGCAACAATTCATCCATCTGATACATGAAAAAAATAAAAAATTGTTAATATAATCATTCGAGTTCTAAATCATGAAAATGAAATTATTATTATAATTACCTTTCTTTTTGAACAACTAGTAGCATAATGACCCAATCCTTGACAGTAAGAGCATGTTCGTTCTTTAGGGGCCTCTAAAGAAGACTTGATTCTACTTGCAAGTTTCGAACGCCCTTTTGTAGTAGTTGGACCAAGAGGATCACGGATAGATAATTGTGGCATCATATCTACTTGCGAAACTCCCATACAAGAACTTTGAGATGTATTCTCCAAAGACACAGATTTTTTTCGGTTTGCTTGTTCATCTAAAAGACTTATCAATATCGTATTTAGTTTTTGTATCTCCGAAGGGGAGTCCCTTGCTTGTTCAATTAGTTTAGTAAAATTCGAACGAACACAAAATAATGTGTAGGCACTAACTCCATTTTCATTATTTAATTCTCCAAGTCCGATACTAACACTACCCAGTTTGTACCTAGCATCAAGGGTCCATCGCGGAAAAATATAGTGACTCGGCAGTTCTTGAACATGCTTCTTCTTCATCACATATAAGCTGTGCTTGCATAAAATCCCATTTGTCTCATACATAGAACACGAACATGTGACGCTGACTTGATTTAAAGAACGAAAGGTAACGATACGCCAATATTTAGTATCAACATCCAATTGCCCAACTTTATATATGCTTTCTTCTGTAGTTTTTGTTAGAGTCTCATGAGTCAAATTGGTAATAGTTTCGATCCATTCTTTTTTGAAAATATCAAACATCTTTCTAGTATAAAATTGACCTGCTTTTGCTTCGATTGGATGCAGTGAAGAAAGAACCGGTCTCGAGTTCATAGTCTTGAAATCTTCATCTTCTTCGGCAGCCCTTCGTGACTCAACTGCTTTGTCGTATTGTACAACGAATTCATTTAACATGGTCCTCGAGTTAACAAATCCATCAAAAAATGAATTGATACCCTCACTTCGTCCAGTTGTGGTCATACCAGCAAATAAAATATCCTTCAAGAAGGGTTTAGCCCAATGTATACGTTGGTTATACATGTCACTAATCCAACAATTGCTTTCCAATTCATACCTAATAGCATATCTTCCCATGTTGCTTCAAATTGTTCAATGGTCTCACTATTTACCCATTTTCTATGCACCTCTTGAAAATCACTGTAACGGGAAACATACGATCGAAGGTGCTCAGTTTCATGTTTCCTGATATGCCATGAACAAAAGCGATGTCGAGTATTTGGAAACACTTTTTTTATTGCATTGCCCATAGCTTTGTCTTGATCGGTAATAATTGCCTTCGGATACTTGCCAAACATACATTTGAGGAAATGTTCAAATAACCATTCAAATGTCTCTTCCTTTTCATTTTCAAGCAATGCTCCACCAAAAAGTATAGACTGTCCATGATGATTCACCCCAGTAAAGGGAGCAAAAGGCATCTTGAATTTGTTAGTCATATAAGTGACATCAAACACAACAACATCTCTGAATTTTGTATAGGCATCTCTTGCTCTACCATCAGCCCAAAAGATATTTCTAGGATACCCATCATCAGACAAATCCACGACAAAATACTGGTCACTGTCCACTAATGTTTTATCTTGAAAATGTTTTATAAGTCCATAGAACTCCTTTCCTCTATGTTGTTTTCGATGCTCAGATAAAACATCAGCACATTGCTTTGAAGTTACATCAACTACATTTGAGGTTGTCATTGTGTTAACAACCTTTTTAATCTGAGAAGGTTTCAACCCTGCTTGACCAAATTGCACCATAAGAGATTTACCTTCTATTGAACGGTGGAAATTGCTATGAGATCGATGCTTTATCACCTTTGTAGGTGTCATGGTCAAGTCGTGATTGTGTGTGTCATTAAACAAGTCCACCAACCACTTCCCATCCTCCTGCCTTGTTATTCGAAGCTTTGCTTAACAACCAGTTCTAACATCTCTACGACGTTTTTTCTCATTTTCACTTGAAGCATCTTTGTCCATCCTTTTGAAGCCTTCTTTGTTGCATACATATATCTTCCGAAAAGGCTCATTTGTTTTAGGATTTTTAATTGTGTCATCTTTACGTATATCAAAGCCATGCAAAAATGAATAATCATTATAAAATGTATAAGCATCATCAGGTGTATCAAAAATCTTTCCCAGTATCCTTTCATCATGAACATCATCTTCGTCAAATTCAATGTTAACGCCGATATTATTTATTTTTTCATTATCATATGTTGCTTCCACATAATCATTTGTGTCAATATCTCCAGTTATATATGGTTCTATAGCTTGATTAGTTGCTTCGGCTTCACTCATTATGCCCTGCAATAGACAACGATGCATATTCAAACGTTATACGTAAACAATATATTAACAACCAACAACGCAAAACTAAAAAAAATATATCAAATACATTGGATATTTTACATTTTCAGAAAAATCGTCAACCAACCGCAATGTCTACCTCTAGAATCCAAAAAAAAAAAGGTATCGTATGCAATTCCAAAAAAAAAATTACTTGGAAGTACTTATCGTATGCATTTCCAAAAAACAAAACGTTTCGGAGAAAATTCTGTTTGATCGAATCCAAATTCTTGAATTGAAACTTTTTAGTTTTTCCGTTAATTGCGATTGGAGGAATATAGGAAGTAAACTACAACACCCATAACCCAAATTCATGAATTGCAACTTCTTTTTACTGTGATTTAGAAGAAAATTAATGGGTGCTCCGAAATAAACCTGATAAACTTAAAAATTAAGGAAATTGACCGACCTGGTTAGACAAGTGAACTGCAACAGGGATGAAATCGACTTGGCTGTTGCGAATTGCAATTTTTTTACCGTGAATGTTCTTTTATGTTAATAACGATTAATGTTTATTTTGATAACCGTTTGCAATTGACTTTCCTGTTGTGAAATCGGTATAATAAAAACCTCATAACAATATGATCATGGAAGCTGTATGATCGATGCACCCAATTTCTTGAATTCAAAGATTTATTTTTAATCCAAATTGTGATTTGGCCGGTGTAGTCGTTTGCGATTGAATGAAATCGCAATTATTTTCCTTTTATGAAATCGCCGTTTTTTCTTCCATGAATTGGTGTAGTCGATTTTGAAAAAGGAGTAATTGGATTGGATTTTCAGGAATAAGGAAACGTGGTTTATTTTTAAGGAAATTATTGTTTTTTTATTTTCAGAAAATTAAATAATTTAACAAAACTATGTAATTTTGACTAATTGGGTATCTAACTTATATACCCTTAAGGGTATATTCACTTTTCCATATATATATATATATATATATATATATATATATATATATATATATATATATATATATATATATATATATATATATTAAGCTGGTTCCTCAACCCACTTAAGAGATCAAATGGGCACCGTTGGAGGAGCAATGATCTTGGAGATACACAAAAATAAAAAATAATAATAATAATAATAAATTCACTTCAACCCCCCTTATCATAGATAATTGATCTACCATGATAAAATACAATGATAACACCTGCTAAAAAAAAATTAAAATCAGTTGTTTCCTTTTTTCCGTATATAATATTTCTCCTAATGTTAGCTTTTATGATTTTTCCATCTTTAACCTAAAATCTACAACAAATATACAAGGGTATCACCTAACACTACTCTGATGCAAACGATGGACACACCCCCACCCTCTCTCCTTACCTTTCTCAATCGTCACCAACAACACCTTCAACAACTCCCCCGCCTCCTCCTTCCCCAAACACTCCAAATTCGTCTGAAACAGCGGCAACGGTGTCGGTGGGTTATACCACCGCTGCTTCCCACCACCACCACCCCGGTTGACATTTTGTCTGACCACCACATCCGAACTACTCCCAACAATATGCACCACCTCCTCATCAACATCCACATGAATCACACTGTCCAACCTTATCTCCGCTTCAATCACCCAATCGGGATCCGCCGGGACACCTTTAAACTCCGGTTTACCTAAATTTACGAGACTGGCGGAGGTGACGATTAGAATAAGTCGTTGGGTGATAATTACAAATTTACCCCCATGTTTTAGGGATTTGGAGAGGACTAGGGTTTCGTCATTTAAGGTGTTGTCAGAATTGATGATTACGGAGATGCCGATGGATTGTTCCCATGAGTAGGGTTTTAAGGGGTGGTTTGGGGATAATGGTCTTGGGAGACGGACTCGGAGGCGTTGGGACCCCATGTGGTAGAGTTTGCTTCGGTTTCGTATGCTGCGTGCGGTTTTTTCTGTTACTTCCAGAATGCTTGCAGCCGGCCTTGCCACTAGTCCGGTTACTCCCAGGGCTATACCTGAGAGGACTCCTGGAAGCCCGTGTTTTTCAGCTCCTCTTATTGGCGATTGGAGAAGACCAGTCAGCCCTTCCAAAACTTCATTTATTACACCTTTGCCATGAGACGACATCCCCTTTTTTAATTGCCTTTCCATTTCTGATGCAGATGGGTCGTCGTCCATTGTAAAGGCAACAATACCCTGAGAGAGAGAGAGCAAGTATATCTTAACACCATGGACAAATAAAATTAAAAAAATAAAAAAAAAAATGTACCTTATGCGCTGCTCTACTGACTTGGGTGGCAGCATCACTTATGGCATAAACTGTATTACTAAGAAGACTAGTAGTTCCCTGTGCCATGCCTGTGATGAGTCCTGCTGGACTCTGCAAAAGTAGTGTGTAATTATTATTTCTTAAAAAACTTTTCAAAGGCTGCAACATGTGATGATATTTACCTTCATAAAGCTTCTGGCTGGAACTGAGAGGAAATCTTTGATGCCAACTCCCACACTCCTTGCGAAACCCATGGGATTTCCTATTACACCAGCAGACCCAAAAACCTGAAGAAGAAGAAGAAAAATATCATCAACACTGTAAAAAATAAAATTATATAAAATATATTCCATCTAACCTTGTACATTTCATGAAGAAGTTGGCGTGTGTAATGTATGATCAAGATCTCTCGTATGGATTCCAAGCTAGCCAGCTGATGAGAAATTGTTAACCGCCTCAGATGAATCCGTGCTCCCTCCACGTCAGCAAGAGCCATTAGACCTCTCTGCATTGTAAAAGTATTAAGTAATTAACTTTATTTTGAAAAATATCCGAATAGTCGGTCCTACTTACATGGATAAGAAATTCTCCTGATGTAAGTATTCCATTCCTTAGCATCCACGGACTGCTGGAAAAGCTGCAAAAAAAAAAAAAAAAAAAAAAAATCAGGTCCACACATATGCCCTTCCTTCTCAGTAGGAAGTGAAATGAATCACCTTAGGGTCAAAGTGATGGGGGCCACTTCAAGCAGTTCAACGTATATTTTCTTCTGTTTTCTTGCAAGGAGATATATTTTCTGCCAAGGTGCACCAATTGGCACTATCGATGGTAATAAAGGGAAGCTTTCATTGTTAACAAGATCCCCACCTTCTGCCTTTTCAGTCTCTGAAAATTTACTCTTCTTATTATTAACACTCAAGTTTGAGGAAAGAGGCAGCAGGACTGAATCCATATGTGGCATTCCTCTGCTATGGAACCTTGAGGATACTGCCTTAAACAAGTCAAACAGACTTAAAATCACATCTTGCTCAAGCTCAAGATGAAAATCTGTCATTCTAAAACAAAGGAAAATGTTAGTAACTCATAACTCATTCAAGGGTATTAATTTACATAAATAAACAGAATAATAAATACTTTAAGTTTATATGCTCAAACGAAAGCAAAGCTCTATCTTTATTCCTCCATTTTGCTGCAGCCAATGAGAACACAGGCTCACATGAAGCATCTTTACTTTTGATTTGAGAGGTCCCCATTTGTTTATACTCATGATCAAAAGATAAAATAACAGGGTAAGGTGTGGTTGGTAGTTGGTTATCAATCTGCAAAGCAAAAATTTTCAAGGAAAACTTTTGCTGATCCAAACTTTGAACTAGATCAATGCTTGTGTTCCTTGCACATGCAAAAAGTAACTCCTACAAATGGGGAAACTTTATAAGAATGGTGAACTGTACCCTTAAATTTGTTTATAGAGTAATGGTACCTGTGGTTGAGAACTCATAACAGAAATTCCAATGAAGGGAATGGAAACTGATAATCTTTCTTTGTAAAGAACACAACTTTCTTGCTTTTGGTCATCTTCTCTTTTATCAGTTAACCTAGGAGATCGCGAGATTTTTATATCATCAAAGATATGATAACTAGAATCAATGATGCTGAGAACCTGTATGATATGGGAAAAAAATGTAGCACTTAGAAAAGGAATATAGTGATAAATAGGAATGTTTGCATCTGAAATACAACAATTATACCTTCAATGCACCTTCAGCATGGACAGATATTAACAACCTTCTCTCAGGTTTCTGCCAAAAGGAATATCATGAAAGGATTTAATCCCATGTACACATTTTTGTATAAGTTGGAAAATTTACCTCAGATGTTGAAGGTAAAACCACAGGTTTGTACTCTTTGGCATCATCAAGAGTATAAGATCCTACTACCCTCTCAGCAAACACCTTGGAGATTAAAGAAGGGAATATATATGTATCAATAATTACAACATATGATTTTTGTAAATGGAATGCATACCTCAACAGTTAGACGATGTGGGTAAGAAGGTTCATCCCATGCATAAGGGCAAGATGTGTAGGAATGTATAACAGTCTCAAAAGCTTCACATTTTTGTTGATAAATACGTAGTCTCTGCAACATGTCAACAAAATTTAATCATTAATGAAAACATAGGGAAATTAAGAAATCAAGATTACCAACCTCCTTTGAGAAATTATCAATCCTGTAAGGCATAAATCCGGTATCATCATCAGATAAAAGAATCAAATTGGTCCCAGAATCTCCATGTGGATTCCCAACAATCTTGTCATCTCTGATTGCATCGTCAGCATTTTGAACCTCTACACGAACCATACTTACAGCACCAGTAACATGGTTTCGCATTTTCAATTGTGTATCACCTAAATGTTCCGGAAAGAAACACCCTGACCACTGCCATCCAGGCTCATCAAAACGAGCAGAGACCAGTAATTCCCTGTTTTATGCAAGTAACTAATTATTATTATTATATAAGCATGTGAACGAACTGTGGTAAGAAAAAAGTTACAAGAAAAACCAACACTGTACCTTGTTATGTCTGTCCAATGAATATGGGAGTGTTGTCCCACCTTCAAATGGTATATAAAGTCGGACCCTTTCTGCCTGTAACACAAGTCCTTACTGCATGCATTACTAATAACATATCTAGGCTGAAAATTGATAATCCTTGTTCTTCCAGAATATGGCCCAGAAATAGCACTAGATGCAACAGATATTACATATGAAGAATTGGCTGATGATCGGGGGACAAGGACTGTAGTTGAACCGGTTGGTGGGACAAGGAAGAATTCACTAGACCACGTGTAGTTTGAGGTACTTGCCACATCAGAGTCAGAGTGGGACCGACTAACTCTCACCATGATCTCACTTGAAGCAATATTAGGGTCAGGAGAATACATGCGAAAGTTGACTTTTTTGCGACTCGTTTCATCCAAGTCAATCTGTTGGTTGTTTGAAACTAAGCTTTTTTCCTCATCATATTGTGTGCTAATATTCTTCTTAGATGAACTGAAAGATTCCTTTCTAGTGGAAACAAGGTTATTGTTTAGGGGAAACCTCCTCATAGTCATACCATCATTGTTTAAGATTTGGTTTGCAGACAAAAGGCTCAGACCATCTTTTTTGCCCAAAAACGGGTCCTCTTCATCTAAATCATAACAGGAAGGCAAGGTGTCGCGCATTGTCAGATCATTAGTTGAGTTTGCAATCGTGAGGGGAAAGCCACAGCAGTTGTACAATAAGAAGGGAACAAATATGCAGATTTCACGAGCCCCAGAGAATGCATCCATCACCTTTTCCATTGTCACATATAATGGACCTAAACAAAAACACATCAGCTTTTGTGAGTGTGTGTGTGTGAGAGAGAGAGAGGGAGATGAGGAAAAAACCTTTAGAAATGTCAGCAGTGAAGTTAATGGATTCTGAAGAAGAAAACTTTGTTCCACTAAATTTAGCAATTTCACTGAACTTTTCTGCGCGTGGGAACTTCAGAACAGAAGGTCTAAAGCCACGTATATCAAAAGTTAACGAAAGATCATGTGAAGAATCAATGTGATAAAAAGAAGTTTCAACCTGCAGATGTTAGAAAAGTTTTAAGTTTATTATATGGACATAAAGAAAATGTGGAAGATAGAGAGATACCAACCTCTGAAAGCAGCATGCTACGTGAAACTCCACCACTCTCAATCATGACAGATACTTGAACTGGTAAATAATTTTTCACTATTAAAGGATTACTTAATGTAATCAGGTGAATGCACCTCTTATTTGACTGATCCTGGTTCTCAATCTTGTCAGCAATAGCATCATGAATATATAAATTTGATCCCTTGTTTACCCTCCCAGTCCCAGCAGAAGGCAAACACACATCATGCACAGACACACAGCAACGAAAAGGATGACTACTTGGAAGAGAAGGGTAGCAGACAAATGACCTCAAATGTCCAATCTTACTTTCATTAGAAAGAATATTGGAAATGCTATAAGCTTCACTCCATAGGTAAGTGTTCCCTAATGGACGCCATCTTATCCGACCTGATTCTGCTAAATGTAGAGGAAGAGGAAACTGGTGTCCTGGATATACAGGGTCCAGAATCTTGGGAGATACACCAAATGGGATATCGAATCTGACTTCAAATGGCATTGTTGTTGCATTTGTGAGTATGACCTGGCATTTTATGAATCTTTTTAGAGAAAAATAGCTAGAAAACATTACAAGTGGAACTAAATTAACATGATGGGTAAACAGTAAAGTAAAGTAAACTTACTGTTGAGTATAATCGGACTAACTTTGTGTATCGTTGAACTGAAACATCAATTACTACAGGAACAACATAGCCACTATTGACACCTTTAGAAGTATCCCTGGAATTGTCAACTGAATTGGAAAAATCCACCTCAAAGAAGCTAACACCAACAAGATCGATAGAAACAGGAGCTGACAAAGTGGAAGTTCCTTCAAGCTGAATAACTATAAAATGATGCTGTGCATCAGCGAATTTTTTGTCTCCTAGATTGTCAGTTGAATGGCTAGGTTTAAAGCCAAAGGTTTGTTCATCTGTATTATCATCAATGTACACTGGATATGAAGAACCAGGCTGCACGTATTTTCCATCTTTCAATATATTGAAACCATCAGCTTTGGAAATGTAAAACACTAGAGGGAGTGAAGTTAAGTTTTCGAGTGTGTAAGGGGCGTATCTGCTGGCTAGTGTATTTGTATTTTCACTGGTGTGAGCTGCTGCTGTTAATCGTGAGTTTTCAGGAAAAACATTCAGACTCATGAGATCCCAAGCATCCGTAACCATATCAAATGTTCTGAAAGCAACCTCAATGAAGGATTCTGTAACATTGATATTGAGATTCATTGTTGACTCGAGATGAACATCTGTCATGACTGGGCTGTTTTGGAGGGCGCTTTTTCCTTGCTCTCTTCTTAAGCTTACTTGGAACTTCCAGGGTTCAAGGAAAGGCTCCCATAACACCTGGAGAGTAAGTATAATTCAAAATAAGTTATCATCAATTCATTCATAAATTGCTACAAAAATTGCTTCACCTTATGAATGTTATTGTAGTTCACTTGAAGCTCACTATCAACCCATCCTTCCATCACATTTGCAGTAATGACACCATGAAACAACAAGCTTCCCATAAGAATCTCTAGTAGAGGACCATTGGAGCTCCACTAGATAATCAAAATCACAGATTAAGTAAACATGAGTTATAGTTTTGAAAATGAGAAAACAGTTTTACATACCTTTTCATCTGTCAAAAGAATGGAAACCTTTCGTAAGTGAAATCTGAAATTTACACTGCCAACTGAAAGCTGAGAAGATCCGGAATCTTCTGGCGTTGTTGGCCACAAGTAAAATGTGTGATGTGAAAGCCAAACATCTAGATTATCACAGTGAACCTCTGTCTTCAAATGCATGAGATCCATATCATCATTACCAGCTTCGGCTTCTATATCAATTTCCAATAACTGAAAAAGGGGCCAAGAATGGACACTCTTGTTCTGAAATAGTTCAACTGTTCCCATTGCTTTGCCCAGATTGGACTTCAATTTTACTTTTTCGCCATCGATGTTCGCCTCAGTGCACCTACTTTGCAAATAAATATATAGAAAACTTCCATCATCTCTTCCAACAAAGGAATTCTGCTCTCGAACTTGAGGTGCTCCAAAATATTTAAATGCTTCTCCAGAAACCTGAACAGGAACACGGATTTTTATACCAATATGATCCGACTTCACAGTTAATGAAAACCGATCTTCTGGAGATAAAAAACTGGAGACGCTGATAGATTGAGGCGAGTTTTCTGCAGTATCAACACGAGAAACTGGCTCTGAAATGGATTTTTCTGGTTCCTCATTCTGGATTGCAGTTTTGGGAAGATTTTCATAGCAAGAATTGACAAGGTCAACAACTTGACTCCATTCAGGCAAAAATAACCAAATGCTGACACAAGGAAGGGAGAATCGAAGATGGTTTTCACCTTCATCTGACATCAAGAGTTTCATGTAAAGAACTGGTACTTTTTTGGTACAAGATGTGCATTCCAGTAAGACAACAGAGGTAAGCATTGAAGAAAGTGTCAAACAAGTGAATGATACATCAAGAGAAAGAGGCTTTTCGTTTTTTAATGATACTGAACATGTGAATTTCATGTCAGTTTTGGCGATATGTTCGTTAGCATTCAATTGTATCTTGTCAGAGTAGAGTTCTACTGACATGGATTGAACAGAGCATCTGATTTCTGTGAAGCTGACACTTGAAGGTTCAATAGGAACTTGAAGCACATTATTTTCTTTAAAACTGTCTTTTGACTTGAGAAACTCTGAAACATCAGAAGTAAAACACATGGATAGATTTTCAACAGATGTGAACTGGTCAATGACATCTAGCAATGCATCAAAGCAGCCAAGTACTTCACTTCCTGAAAAAAGAAAAGACCATTGCATTAATCAAATATCAAGTATGTACATAATAAATAACACAGTGACATAAAAGATGATATTCTACCTTGGACAATAAATTGACATTTATTAACCTTTGACATCATACATGTTGCAGAAGGAGAATCAGATCCATATGGTATTGTGATCCATATATCGCCACTAAAAGGAGCAATTATGCTGACACTTGTCACTTCAGAAGCATTGTCTTTCCAAAGAATATGATGTAGAGATAAATCCCTCCCAAATACATTTAGACAATAATTTTGATCTCCAATAAATCCAGGTGGAACAGAACACTCCAAAGGGATTTCTTTTAATAGAATGTCTGAATCACTATTCTCAATAAAAGTGAAGTAGAGCTGTGGAATATTAAGCTTTAGAAACTGGTAATCAGCATTAGCCACAGGTGTAAACAAAACAGAGTCCAATATCTCAAACTTGTAATTGTAAGTGAAAGGAAAGCTATCTGTGTCCTTGGAATAATCGATACCAGATGACTCTTTTGCATTCGAGTTCCAATCAGGCATTGAGAAGTAACCAATGAGTACAGCTAGAAATTCAGTTGGCAACATGCATGAAACATTCTGAATACTAAAATCTAGTTCCATTCCATGATTCCCTTTTCTCACTCGAATGTTGATAACGGGTGAAAGATTGAGTGAAGCAGGGCCCCACAGAGAGTCTTGTAGAGTCTGAGGAAACCATTGTGATGAAAGGCTCAATCCCTCAGTTGAAAACAACACATCCAGACAGCTTTCATGGATGGAAATAGAAGATTTAGCAGTAGGAAGTGTAAAAGATGCAACAATGGATGAAGAGTCATGCAGGTGTAGTCTAATGCTTCTGAGATCAAGATTGATTACAACCAGATCAGGATCAGATACAGATGGTTTCTGGAATTCCTTTTTTGAACAATTTATCTTACCCTCTCTTATCTTGAGAACCTTCTTCCAGTCTGGATTGATGTTAATAAGTGAACTCTCGAGGCTAAGAAGAGATCTGTCATTGTGTATTGTAACAAAAGGGTAATGATCAACTGAAATGCTTTCCCAATCTGAAGAACAGGTGTCATAAAAATTGGAACAACCAAAATAAGAACCTGAGAGGACACTGTTACTGTTACTTATACTGTTACTTCCCACAAATTCTTGATTTTTGTCATCATGTGAATGTGAAGGGCTATATTCTGGTAGCTTATCGAAAAATTCAATCAGCAATCCAATAATATGTGGATAGCAATGAAGATCAAGATCTGTCAACCATATGCTCAAATCACCATCATAATGTAACATGAGGCACCCATTATTAAGTTGGCTTAACCCATTAGGTGAAACATTTATAAGGTCCATGTCATCGCTATTTTTCAACAAACGAGTCGTTACTTTAAAAGCCCGTGTACATATCCAGATAGATTGTGTGTGTTTCATAGTAATCAATCTCATATCCAAGTCCTGAAGAGAAACAGTTAATGTGCAGCTTTCCTCTAAGCTATTTTCAAGGTCAACAATGAAGCTACCAGACTCCAAATTGGCAACAACAGAGACACTGCTAAAGTTGTTTGGTTTATTTGATTCTGACATGGTGCCCAGGTGTGAAGCATGATGGAGCATGTCGATGGTTTCAACTAGTTTCAAAACTGAACCAAGTATTGATGGTGACACGTGTCCCAAAAAAGGTGCCACCACTACATAAACCTGAAACCAATTATTAATGGTGACAAGTGTGCGAAATTTTTAACTTTTAGTAGGATAATGTAAATACCTACCTCCATTGCTTTCAGTAATGATTCATCCTGAACAATGCACAATGCTAAAGCAGAAGAAGCATTGAGGTTTTCCAGAATAGGAAAATAATGAGGATAGAATGGCACAAACAAGTTTATCTGCAGGAAGTCACCCGTCAGTTATGTGAAATGTGAGATGTTGAGTGACAATGAGAGAAGATGCTGACAGCTGACCTGGAAGTCGACTAATTTAATTTCCAAGAGATCATACAGATCTTGAATCTGAGTTCCTTCTAGAAGCTCACTTGAAGAATTGTCATCTATTAAATTCCTCATGAATTGAGAAGGTACGTTGATATCTGGTGCAAAACAGTTAACATCATGCTTGGATGAAAAGGTGACAGCTGTTGATCCAAGTACCTGTATGTTAAGGTTTGAAGTTAATACAAATAATAATAATGTGAACCTCTCATATGACGATTTAAAAAGAAATCAATACCAATTTATGTATCTCTGACTTCCCATTCTCCCAGGGAATAATTATCTTGATGTTTATTAAACTAATATCCCACATCATTCTCTTCCGACCTGACAACATGTATCTGCAAAACAAAACAAGAGAAAATACATAGTTGAAGAGAGATGTTTAGTTTAAATACAATGTTGCTACTAATCCCATTTCTAGACCCTAAAGGAAATAATATTATTCCAGCAGTAAGATCATAGGAGAAGACATACTCGGCTTTCGATATTAGACGTGACTTCATGTCTTTTATCCCATTAAGCGAGTTTAGGACCTGTAACATGAAACCAGTGAAAGTTGTTTCTCAAAAACCTCATAAGTTAATCATATAGAATCTATTAGTTGTGTATAATGAATTCACTATCTACAGATAAAGAATGCATCTACTTTGAGACGTGTAACACTTAAAAAACCATGCAAGTAGTAACTTCAAAACATGTAAACTAGAATAACACTGACCCTTCCTTCATGAGATTGAAAGGAAGCCAACACAGTATATAACTCCACAAAATTAACAAGATATGTTGGATCACATGTCATTTCAATCGGCTCAAGCAAAACCTAAAAACAAAGTTAAGGGTCATTGTCATTATCAGAAGTTTATAGCACAAGATTTTTATAAAAAAAAATAAATAAATAAATGCAAGTTGGGTACCTTCAATGTCAAGTCACCCTCACGATTTGCTTGTGGTATGTAAGCTTGGATATTTAGAGCCGGCTTCTCCACTTGAATAAAATTCTCCTCAGAGATGGCCTGAAAGAAAATGGAAAATAGTCGAATACTCAAATAACTCAAGACTTCCCTCCCTATAACAAGGCATGCAATAATACACATGAAGACACAAACCCTTTTCACACGTAAAACGACTTGCTTGTTTAATGAATTAATCATCTCAACACCATTGATTGATGCAGTAACAACAGCAGATTCCTCCCAAATCATGCACTCCACAAGATTCTCCTCAAAAACCAGTTCACCAATAGCACAATCCAGATCCCTAGAAAAAAGAATAAAGTCTTAGAAACTACATTACGTAAAGATAGGTACATAATTAATAGTAGATTATACTTATTGCGCAGAGTTGCAGAAATTTGATGTATAGAGCATTTAATGGAGGACAAAAGAAGTCTATCACTTCCAGCAGCATCAAGAACAGGGGAAGGTGCAGGATGAAACTTTGTTGCCTCATAAATGTCCTGTGTCATATTATATAAAGATCGAGTTAAAGTGAAATCATTTTGGATAATAAAAATAAGCTTAACAGTTAACACACACACACACACACGTACCTTAATTACTTCATCTGAAACAACACCAGAAAACTGGCTGGAATCATCTGTACCTCCAGCCCCCAACATACCACGGGAAAGCCACTTCAACCATCCTTGTGGTTTTCCAGATGTTTGGTCATCATCCATTGACTTGTCAATGGTAGTATTTGCTTCACTATTTCCAAAACCAGAAGCTGAATCCACCAAGAACTCCTACATGTTCATAGTCTTTAATAAAATGTATAAGTAAAAAGCACATGCAATACATATTAACAACAATGATCATAATCATACCTGAAGCTCATGTTCAGCAGCAGACCTGTAACTCAAGATATCTTCTATATCAGATACTTTCTCCATTTGGTCTAACTCCAAAACAATTTCATCATCCAGAGGCTGATCATAATTCATATACACCAAATAATGTTTGAATCATTTACACCGTTTAATAAATATAATGTTTAAATCAAGAAAACTGTATATAAGTAACGACCTCACCTGCTCTTTTCGAAGACATTCCAGTTTCAACTTGTACAACTTAACATATCGTCTTTTTCTGCCTCTGTAAAGTAAAAGATTTTTAAGGGTTTAAGATTTCAAGCATTCCATGCACACAGCAAATGGTAGATCATAGATGAATAAAGAACAACTTACAGACGTTCTCCTAGGTATTTCCATGAAGTTTTCTTCATTCTTTTACGAACATCAGACAACACAGAGTTCTGAGCATAATGCCACCATTGTATCTGCCACCCCAAAGGTCTATCTGATATAGGTATCCCCCAAGGGCGATATCGTCCATATCTAAAAGACCAATGTCCCATCTTTCACAATCTGAAAGTGTAATTAAAAAAGGATAACACCAGCGTTCCACTTACTTCTCTCTTAGCCGACAGATGCATAGATAATCATACAGATACAGTATTTGCTGCAATTGATCTTCATCAAGGGACAAAACCTAAAAGTCGGACATGTCAGTTGAATGTTATGTATGAAATCTGACATAATACAAGTTAAGAAACTAACCAAGCCAGATAACTCGATATCAACCGAGTATTGTGCTGCATTATTCTCGAGCCTTCCAGACCTGTTCACCTGCAAAGTACAACAGTAAAAATCTAACTAATGTGCAGTAGAAACTAGCAAAATTGTTATGAGATGATGCAATTAGAGCATGACTTGCATACCGAAAGAGAAGCAGAAACATCCACTGGGGACAACAAGTGAACATGTTCATCATTTTGAAAGCTTGCAGCAACCATTGACATGGAGTCTTCACCATTGTTGGTATACAGATCTTCAGCAGATCCATGAAACGTTTTACAGTAGATTTCCAAACCTTGTATCTCAACAAGTTTGTTTACTTGGCCAGCTCTCACCTTTCCACTTAATACCCTGAGAAATTATATTAGAGTAATTCAGAGTTTTAAGTAGTCGATAATCAATTGGATGGATGGCTGTAAGAATCAAAGTGTGCAATTGATAACTTTTTAAGTTATGGTATTTGATACAACAATATGATTGTAGAGAAAAAAAGAGATACCCAACAAGATTTTGTTTCAGTGCAGTCAAACTAGCCAACTTCAAACCAAATACAGTTTGTGCCTTGTCACTGGAAATATCTCTATATACGACATGTACATTCCTGATGGTGACTTGAATGCCATCAATAATCTGGAGAACATCATGGAAATAGAAAAAACCTTAAGTTTAATGAAAACTTATTACATGATAAGTAACCCTAACAAGCAACAGAAACACAGACATGAGTGTTTATGATTTTATCATTATTAACAAGTTAAAGCAGCATGGAATCTCACTACCTTCGCAGTAATGTATGAAATAAATGATTTCCCAGTTTGATTATCATTATCTGCAGAACAACAGAATATATTAGCACCAATCCCATATCTCCATATACGACAAACAGCATTTCTTTACCTGTTTTTTCCATTAATTATCATCACTTAATATCTGCAAACTTGATTTTTTCTTTATTTTGCCCTCGATTTTAGATATTTGACCAATACCCAACGTTTTTATTATATATTGTCAAATCAAACTTTACATCTTCTTGGGATGAAAGAAGTAGATAAATTAACAGTGAATAACTAACACTCACTTTTACCTACAACTATTAAAAAGTATAGTAAACGGGTGATCTTAAACAACTCTGGAAGATCTAAGAAATTTTAAAACCGACAACAGTGAAGAAAAAACTGCCTAGTTTATATACAGGACAGACAAAACATGGTTGCATTTTCACTAAACTACAAAGATTGGACTTCTATACATACAATGGATGCATATATCATCCTAATGCACAATGAAAAACAGGAGTTATAACAATGTAACCTATAGGTGGATAGCAGTCACTCACCACACACACGTTGCGATAACTTTGCCAATTCTGCTGTAGCAAGTTTGGCCTTTTTTCCAGCAAATTCTCGTCTTTCAACATCATCAACACTCCACTACAAAAAGAATAGCTGTTTACATTAGATTTTTTTGTGGCAGGGAAACCCTGGGCCCATGCAATGTAAAGTTATCTAATATGATGAAGATGCACAATACTCATATCTTGATATGGGATATCACTTACCTCTTCATCCTCACGTTGAGAGGCACAAACTAATATATCCTCCAAAATTATTATAATAGGGTCCCACCCAAGCTTTTTCCAAGGAATTCTAATGCTTAGCCTCCCAACCCGACCTATCAAGCACTCACAAATGTCAAATCATCACAGCCATAGCTCAAACATGAAAAACCACATCCCAGAAATAACAAAGTAAAATAAGTATTGCAAGTTTAAGGTTGATATCAATCACCTTGCTTTAGAGCAAATGGAAGTTCTAGATAATCAAAAGCTTCTAGAATTAACTCCACATTTTCTAAGAACACTTCCTCTGCATTAAAGGGAGTGTAAAAAGTCAATAGTATAGATTGTGATCAAAAAATTCGATACATACAAATGACATTATAGTATAAGAAATTCATTGCATATTGACATGATACGCCACAATATAGAAGGAGATGCTGAAGCGATCAAAAATGTTCATGCAGGGAGACCAAGTAACAAATAAAAAAGAATGAGAAATTGGCATTAAAAAATATGAATGATGAATGGCATATTGGTGTCAACCATTAATGTGGTAAGTGGTAACAATGGTATGTGTATTCTGCTTATGTTGTTATACCCTTCAAACTACATAAATGTAAATAAATAAAAAGTAAATATATTGTACTGATAATAGTGAAAGTAGCAAGCCATTAATAACAAACTAAGTCAAAAAAAGGTCATGATAGACACTGGTGACTTACCATTCCAAAGTGTGATCTTAAGTTGTTCTCTGTGTATATCTTTAATATATTGGCCAAGATAACCTAATATCAGCTGCCTTACTAAACCTTCAAACATTTCCTATACCAATTATCAACTCAGAGCATAAATAGTCTGTAAAACTGCAATGTTAATACAGTAAGCAGGGATAATTACTAGTAGAAAAATGATAACCATAGTCGAAAAAATAAATTACATATGATTGGCACTTTGAATTGGTAGTTAAACCATTATGATGATAATTGCGTCAATAAAAATCCAAAAATGCATCAACATCACAATAATGTTTACCTGAAGTCAGCAACCTCCGTGCCAAATTAGCATGGGGCTACTATATGATCAAATGACTGGCATTCATGAGTTAACCTAAACAAAAAAAAAAAATCAAAATCAGAAACGAAAAGAAGATGCTCAAGTATATAATTCCCAAAAACCCTAACTGATAAATTACAGATAGAAAATCGGGCTACAGAAAACAGTATCAACACATGACATGTAACAAAGATAAATACAAATTCGACTTTCACATATTCAATTTTCGTATATATGGATTACACAGCAAAAAAACGGGGTTCAATAGTTGTAGCGATATATCGATTTCACAGCAAAAAAACGGGGTTCAATAGTTGTAGCGATATATCGATTTCACAGCAACAAGTTCGAAATTGACATATCGATTTCACAGTATGAACAGGAAAGAGAGACATCGAGATTTACAGCGCCAAAGAGCGAGACTGAGATAAATGTTTTTTAGATCGATAGTTGTAGTAATGCACATACCTGGCGAATTAACGTGAGTTCGGTGTCGGCTGCAAGTTTAATTTGTTGAATGATAAGATTTTGTTTTTTAGAATGGTTTTGTTAAAATAAAAGGGTTTTAACAAAATGGGTATAATGGTAATGTACTAATGTTTCGAATGGAATTATTTCCAACAAAAAGAAAGTATTTTCCTCCGAGGAATGTTTTCAGAGAGTGTTTGGGATTACTTTTTGGATAGGAAAAAAAAATGTGCTTATTGCTTATTCCCACAATAAGCTAATTTAAGTGTTTTGATAAAATCCAGTTTGTTAGGCTAAATAAGTTAATTTTAATAAGCATTCCTCTCCATGCTTATTGATTATTGCTTATTTCCACCACAAATAAGCTATAAGCAATAAACTAAAAATCTAATCCAAACACCCCCTTAAAAGTCCGTTTTGTACAAGTCCATTTTGGTTTTAACTTTGAAGGAGTAAAAACCAAAAGTTGATTTTAAAAAGTGTTTGCTTTTGTAACATCCCGGAATATCAAGGGTAGAGTTGAAGGGCTAGAAGTGAAATTGTATAAGGGCAACTCGGCGAGTCCGTGGGTGGATTCGGCGAGTAGGGTCGCGACTTTGATCGCGTGTCAAGTGGCCTACTCGGCGAGTCCAAAGATGAACTCGGCGAGTAGGTGCTGAGTGGAGAAAACCCTAAATCCGGGGGATGAGCCTTATTTAAAGGACATTATACCCTTTCCCCAGCCTCTTTGATCTCCCTTGAAGTCCAGAAACCCTAGAAAGCGTGATTGTGGAAGATTGGAGTGCATTTGGAGCTTAGGGAAGTGCTTGTTGAAGAAATCTTGAAGGAGAAGAGACTTGGATCAAAGGGCTTTGATTAGATTCAGATTCCTTGTTGTTGGGGGCTTCATTTTGAGGTAATATCTCGTTCTTGGGTTGTGTTCTTCTAGATTCATCATTTTGGGGTTGTGTGGGAAGCTTAGAATTGTGGTATCTTGAGTTTGAAGGATAGATATGAGGTTGCTACCTCAGATCTGGAGTGGAGAAGGTCTTAAGTGCATTAAAGTCCTTGTTCTTGTGTAATTGGTGAAGCCATCATATCCCAAACCCTAGCCCTAGATGGTAAAATGCCTAGATCTCTTTGGATTCACGTAAAGTTTGCCACTTTACGTGATGGATGGCCTTAGGAGGGGTAGATCTATGGTTTGGATCATCTGCATGGCTTGGAAAGCCTCTGTATGGATTCAAACCCGGTGGAACTCGACGAGTCACATGGATGAACTCGGCGAGTTGGATGAAGATGGCCTGGAACTCGGCGAGTTGGAAGAACAACTCGGCGAGTAGGTTGAAGATAGTCGTAGACTCGGCGAGTCTGGTCGTAAGGTTCAAGTTTCTTTTGGGAAGGCTGTGACTCGGTGAGTCAAGGGATGACTCGGCGAGTTAAGTCGCGAATTGAAGGATGTTCTGTGCATGGGGACTCGGCGAGTCATCGGGTTGACTCGGCGAGTAGAGTCAGTCAGGGGTAGACTTTGACTTTGACTTTGACCAAGGGTTGACCAGTGACTTCCAGGGGTAATTTGGTAATTATTGGTATTTATTGGATTCAGTCTTTTGGGTATTGACAGTGTTGGAGTTCGAGTCGGAGGTTGCAGCAGCGTGATCTTATCCGTTCAGACAGCAGCGTCTAAGGCACCAAGGCCGGCCCTTTATCGGATTGAGATTCGGGTATCTGTTGTTATGTGATTGTTATGATATGTTTGCATCCGGGTGGTTAGGATGGTATTCGTTAGAGACCTGGTTAAGGTCGGTATCCTGGTATATAGAATGACGCTACGCTAGTGACCGGTTAGGTCAGTATCCTGTTAGAGTATATTGTGTTATGTGATCTGCTAGATCGGTTTGACTGAATATGAATTGTTATGTGATTGTATGTTTATGCGCACATGGTTGTTTGGACTGGAGTTGGGTTGAGGCGGGTCCTGCTTCGTGCTGTAGGCCAAGATACCCAGGGCGGACCGGTTGTTCCGAAGGCCCAGCGAGCGGTCCGGATAGGCTGTAGGCCCCACGAGGGTGGACCAGACGTGCCGAGGCTCGGAGAGTGGACCATGCCGACTGAAGGCCCGATGCGGGCGGACCAGTCATATTGTAGACTCAGAGAGTGGACCAGGTGGGTTGAAGGCCCGGTGCGGGCGGACCAACCACACTGCAGACTCGAGGGACATGACTGGACTCGGAGGGTGGACATGGTGGACTGAAGGCCCGATGCGGGCGGACCAGTCTCCCAGTAGACCTGATATGCATGGCTGTTCTGCGATTCGTTATAATATAGCATGTTATGTGTATGGTATATATGGTTGGTATTTTGTGGGTATCTCACTAAGCTTTCGGGCTTACAGTTGTGGTTTAATGTATTTCAGGTTCTTCAGGAGACCGTGGCAAGGCGAAGGCGTGATCGTACCACTCCTCGTGTTGATGTTTTATGAAATGGACCTGGGAATACTCTGATAATAAATGTATTGAAAATCCTTTTGTAATAACTTAATGAATTGGGATGTTTTTGAAAAGTTTAAATTTTATTGAAATTTTGGGTCGTTACAGCTTTAACTTTTTTGATTTTTGAATCTAATTTACCATTTGAATAGCTGAAAGTCACAAAAGATAGGATTTCCTAACTTTTAAAAACCCACCATTTTGTTCTTGCCAAAAAATTATTTTCAAAAGAACTTTTTTATTTGCCAAACATCTTTTTGAATTTTTTAACTTTTTGAAAAAACCAAAAGCCAAAACAAATCAATTTAAAAACAATCCCAAACACCCTCTTAGCATTTCCTTTACCTTCTTAAAGTTGAACCAAATTTATGAATTCGGGGAAATTAGAATCTATTTCCCTTGAATTTCAATCACTTCTTGTCAGTCAAACGCACTCTAATAGACTTGTGCATCGGTTTTTAGCGGTCCAAATATTAACGAGCCATTGACCTATTATAATTTTAATCATATATAATATATTTATAAAAATATAAAAATGATATATATAGTTAAACGGGTCATATTCGAGTTGAAAGTATTGACTCTAACCTTATCCATTTATTTTTCGTGTCATGTCGTATCAACCCGTGTACATAAACGGATCGAAATCTCTGACCCTAACCCGCTAACTTCGTGTTGGGTTGTCGTGTCGTGTCCGATTTTGTCAGGTCTACTATATGGTCAATGACGGTGGTGGTACATAGGGGTGTTCGCAATGCGGTTTGGTGCGGTTTAGAGTTGAAACCGCAAACCGCACCGCACATGCGGTTTGAGTTTTTTAGAAACCGCAAACCGCATGTAACGACCCATAATTTAGACCAAAAATTTCTTTTAATAAAACATTACTTAAAGCAAAATCATAAATCCAAAACATAAACAGAGTATTAATTTCCAAAACACATGTTCGTTATCAGAGTAAAACATTCCCAGGCTGTCTAATCAATGGTGTGTGTCATGCGATCACCCCGAGCTCTTCCCTCCGCTACCGGAAGTACCTAAAACCAAAACTGAAAACCGTAAGCACGAAGCTTAGTGAGTTCCCCACCCTACCACATACCATGCATAACCACATACTGCACATACTGGGCCACGCCCGCTATCCTGGCCCTCGCCCCTGCCTCGAGCCTCGCCCGCTATACCGGCCCCGCAACTCCAGGCCCCACCTGGCTTTGAGCCCCTCTAGGATACAGATTTGTTCCACTTAGGCCTCGCTTGTCACAGGGCCTCGCCCGCCAACAAATAATAACACATAAACATATCACAGGGCCGCGCCCGCCAACAAATAATAGCACATAAACATATCACAACACATAAGCTAAACTCGTACGACTGATCTTGTCCTAAGGCCTCGCCTATCCTGGGCCTCGCCCTTGTCCTGCTACTGATGAGTCATGGAACCCCGTCCACGCTCCTACTGGTGGTGACATACGGGCCCAACCCACTCTCACTCCTTCCCTAACTTGGTCCTCGCCCCTGCTATGCTACTAATGAGATGTATAACCCCATCCACACTCTGCTATTGGTGAGATATGGGACCTCGCCCACACTCACCTAGGGATGGCAAAAAAACCCGAACCCGACGGGGAAACCCGAAACCCGATCATTTCGGGTCGGGTAACGGGTCGTTATCGGGTTTTTTATCGGGTTCGGGGCAGGGAGTGGGTTATCCCCGCTCCGCCCCGATTATATATATATATATATATATATATATATATATATATATATAATATGTTCTAAAAAATTTGCTGTTAATTGTACATGTTCAAATATAAAATACTTATCGTGGACAATTTTTTTAGTTATTAACAATCTTGTGTTAATGATCATTTTTATGTGTTTTGACGCATTAAACAAAACTTAAATCAAATAATTTTTTATATAACGTCCAGTTTATTTTATTAAAGTGATGCATCATGTTTTTAATTTAAAAGAGTTGCTAGAACATGTATATTTTATAAGACATTGGGGTATCCTAAAAGAGAATAAAGATTTCGTTATCACTTGTTGTAAACCCGATAAGATACCCGAAACCCGACGGGGAAACCCGAAACCCAATGGGGCGCCCCGATAAGATACCCAAAAGTTATCGGGGCGGGTTTGGGAATCCACGCCCCGCCCCGAACCCGCCCCATTGCCATTCCTACACTCACCTCCCTACCAGGCACATACATGTATCACACAGACAACAAATATAAACAAATCCTTGGGCACCCGCCCGCTATTAATGGACCTCGTCCTGAATATCATACTAGCATATTGTGCCTAGGGCTAACCCCCGGGCCTTCTACTGATAACTACATGGGTCGGCACTGTGGCCTTAGACCCATTCACACAAAGGGAAACTCACCTGCACTGGCTGAACTTACTGATGATCTCACTAGTTGCTGCCATGCAACTCTCTGAACTCCTGCTCCCCTTGCTCCCCGAACTACCAATATCAATGCAACACTGAGTCTAGCTGACCCCCAAGAGACAACCAAGTCAACTCTGGTCAAAGTCAAAGTCCTGGTCAAAGTCAACCTTCCAAGTCAACCCTACTCGCCGAGTCACCCTACTGACTCGCCGAGTTCATATGTTCAGAGTCCTTCCATCCGCGTCTCGACTTGCCG